AATTGCACAAGTATTCGCTGGACAAAGTTAAATAAAACGCATGATCGCACCAGCTACGTTGGTAGTGTCACTATTTTTTTATTGAGGCACTGTTTTGTTCATGTTCTAACCCTTGTGATGAACAAATCTCTGTACTTTTCTGCTGTTTCTTGCTGGTTTCATGAACTGCATAAAATACAGACAAACAGTGTAATTAACAATGAATTGTCCACCTATTTTCGTTGAGTTCATTGATAGACTGCTGCCGCAGTTCGTCCATCTCTCCGCCGGGATTACTTACTGCAAAATACATACCCGTTTCCAGCTGATGACTTGCTCGACCACCTACGCTTACTCCTAACTCTATCCTTCGCCATCTAAAAGCAAACTTTGCATTCAATCATTCAAACATTCAACTAACCGATGTGTTTCAAAACTCACACTGGTTTTTATAAAGCGAAATTTTTTTCACATGTAACGGCAAAAAGTTCGATTGTAAAGGTGCTCACTGCTGTATCTAGCTTCGTGATATAATCAAATAATACAACTTTTAGAAGGCTCAGTATAAGGTTTTGAAAAATCGGGTACCGCAAATGTTTGAGAAAGCCACTGTCCCAAATTCAGTAATCCTGCTATCAAATTTTTTGGCACTCCTGGCCTTTTTTGTTCAGACTCCTATTCATTATTTACGATTTAAAGCAAAGACCTGTCCAAAAAAAGCCTCTGTGTTCGACCATCAATTTCCACTCGTGCAGTACTTTTGTCCTTTTCGATCCACCGACCAGCCGTGTAGTCATAGGCAGCATATTTTAATACGACGAATGTTGTGGGCTGTTCAAGCTTCACAGCCATATACGTTTTGTTTTGGTATGGTACAAAGTTCACCTTAACAAAAGCAAAACATTTTTCGGAAATCTAACCGATTAACGACAACTTTCAGAAATTTGACAAAAAATTTCATTCCGTCTCTTTACCTACTGAATCAGTCAGCTGCCTTTTTTTGTCTTTACACCAGCGGAGTTAAAAAGCTGTGCACCGGAAACTCTTGGCATCTTTCGGATATAGCAATAAATTTTCGTCGAACCAGTGTTTTCCCACTTTTTTTCACTTCTTTTCCCAGTAAGTTAATTTTTAGTTTACAGTTCATACTGCACATCTACGGACCCACGGCGACTGGTTAAAATGCGCGGTTTTATCTGTATTAATAAAAAGCAATGAGAAGTGTGGGAGTGCCACAAGCTTTCGCACAACACTGTCCACAATTACTAATCTTACATCCATGATCACTGCCCACAATGATCAATCTTGCACGCAAAAATTCACATTTAAATGTATTCTTTCATTCAAATTAAGCACCATTTCATAGTTTGAAATTCACTGAGAATATGAAAGTATTAAAATCTAAGCTACGCAGGTGATGAAAATTACAGCTTCTTGGCAAAGTTGACCCAGGCTAGAAAGAGTCAGGCTTGCTAGTACGTCATGTTTTTTGGCACTAAACCCGCAGATCGTTT